AAAATTAAAATATGCAACAATTTTGTGCGATTTGTGTACACACTAGTTTTTTCTATTTTTATATTTATTTCAATAGATAGCCACGCGAAATGGTTTCTGGGAACACTTTTGGGCCTTAACGAAGAAATTTGCACAATAAACGAAAATGCCAAAAATGCAATTGAGCTTCGGCCGGAGATGGGTGTGGGCGACCAACAGCAGCAGCAGTAGCCACAACCACAGCCACGGCCATGGCACTTTAATTTGCCAATTGTATTTATAACAAGCAGCCCAATATACAGTACGTTTCAATGCTTTAGGTTCTAGTTAAAATGTACGCATAGCAATCCTTTTCTTTCACAGTTTATTCATATTATTTATTCATTCGCTTCCAGCCATAACATGATGATATGCACCGTACACTCGTATATGGCCAATACTATATATTCGATTTATGCATAAATCGAACCATCTCATTGGCCTGCTAGCTCCCCGCATTATCTGCCAATAGTCCCAAACTGGGCGAGTGGGGATACTGAGCAGAGGAGTGTTAAAAATAAATAAATAAACATAATTTGATTTTGCCATTTCGTTAAAGGGGATTGTGGTGGGATGTTAGGGGGGGGCCATTATAATGCCATGTTTATGCACTGTCCGATTTGCTATATTTGTTGTTGTTGTTGGCTATTTGTTTTAGCTTTTTGCCTAGACAGTTTTATGTTCTGCCAGATATGGAGGAAGAGGCGCGCATAGGCCAAAGAGTCGCATGCACAATGTATAGGAGGTTCGATGGAACGTTAGATGTGCGTGTGATTTATTTGTCTGCCTCGCCGCTGGTTGTTCAACAAGCAATAGTAAAACTGATGATAAACGAAATGTGATTAGTATTAAAGCAATCACAGAAAGACAGCCACAACAAAAGTGGGTAAAATAGCGAGAGATAAGCGAGGCTTTCACCCAACCAAAGGCATAGAAATATATTTGCAAATAATCTAAAATATGCATATTAATATTTATTTAAAATTTAAACTATATTTCAGCACTTACTATATATGGATCTAATCTCGATTAGATTGGTCTTCTCCTAAGAACCACCGGAACAATACCCCAAAAAGCTCTCTCTCTCTGTGTGTGTGTGTGTGTGGCATCAGCAATGAGTACACTCATTCCTATTCACCACATACGCTCAATTATTCATTTGCTTCTTTTTGTTTGTTTGGATGAACTGAAAATTCGAGGCGTATTTGTTTTTCTTTTCGAGTGATGGAGGAAAACCGGGGAACCAGCTCAGTGGAGGAAAGAGAAGCATGGACCGGACCGGAAGGATGCAAGGAAACCACAAAAACCGCAACGAATTTAGCACGAAGCTTGACCAAAAGTAGTAGCGGGTGGGGTGTGGTGGGTGGGTTGGAGTTTTTCCTAGATCGACTGCATTTGAATGCAGCGCTCGACAGCCAACTGAAGCGTGACAGGCAAAAGGGGGGGAATGAGCAGGAGAGAGATCTGGAACAGTGGCCAAAGAACGCATTAAAAACAGAAAAGAACTCAAGATAAGTTCCATAGGAATGGGAATCCTTTTTGGGTTATTGAATTCAAATGTCGCATACTACGAGTATATATCGAATACTATATATTCGAATCAAAGCGAAATGCAAATGAATAACCCACCCAAAATGAGAGCCGCTGCGGTTCTGCCATTAATTGGCAATTTATAGCAGAGACCCAACCGCCGTCCCTGACATTCTCTCTCTCTTCATTTTCACGTGCTCGCTCAAGTGAAAATTATCATTTCCAGCGAAACTAAATTGCCTTGGTCCCGCTAAGACCCCCCCACACCCCCTGTACCAGCACCATAGTCGACCCACACACGGATCCCTAAAAATAGCAAAAACGAAACAAAGCTAAAGGCAATGCCATAAAAATGTACAGTGAAAGCAAAAGACACCCACACACAAAACACCAGTCCAAAAAAAGCAATAAAAACAAAACAGCAAAAAAACCAAAAAAAAAACAAAAAAAAATTGACGCGGAAGAGTGCAAACGAAGGAAAGGAGAAAAAAACGAAAGGACGAAGAGGAACAGGGGACAATGGAGGAATAAAAAGCCGCGCGAAAGTCGACAAAACTTTAGCCGGGGACAAACCGTCCAGGACGACCGCAAAAGGCAACAGAAGTCTGTCTGCTCTTTCCATCTTCAGCTGCTTCGCCCCAAACCTCCTTCGGTCTAGCGAGACGATATCAAAAAAAAAAAGGCTAGAGAGAAAAAATATGTTGACTCATTAAGCGACAGCAGAAATGCTCTAAAAGAACTTTGATTGATCCCTAAATTAATATGGAATGTACTACACATGGATTACGGATAGAGAAAGAGAGAGTATTTTTATTTCTGTACATACATATGTACAATGATATGGAAAAGAGGCATCCACAGATGAGGGATAGAGAATTATTGAAAACAAACGTCACAAAAGCGAGAGTTAAATATTAGATGTATCCCTTCTATAGAAGGATTTTGGAACCATTTGTTTCTCTTATAAAAAATGAGAGTAACTGAGTGAAAGAATTATCCCATCAAACTCCATCAGTTTAACCCATTTAATGGACCTTTAATTGTGTAGGGTATCGAGGTGAAACCCAACCAGCGATTTATCGCATTTTGCTGTGGTCGGCATTAGTTACGCTGAATTTTATCACAATTGCAATTCTTTCTAGTCGAGAACACCCCACCCACATCCCCCCCGAATATAATCATTTATTCGTATCTTTTCGACTGGTTCTACTACCATTTGTTGGACGCGCAATGGATGGAGGTGGCTGAAATTTCCGGACTCTGGCCAGCTGCCCTGGCAACTGTCCGGAACTCCCGAAAATTCGCGCCTCTAATTTCCACGTTTTTGGCCTTAAATAATCATAATTTGGTCTTTTGTGGCTCCCTGCACTGAAGCTGTAGATGATTAACGCGTCCACGGGGAGGAGGCTCTTTAAAGTGTTCTCACCGAAAGCTTGCATTCATTTTCAAGCCCAATCTCTCATTAGCAAATTCATTTGGCTGCACTCCAACTGCCGGGAATTGCTGGTGGTGGTGGGGCGACATTTCTCTTTAGCCCCTGACTTATCAGTTGGAGAAGCCATAGCAAATATCCATTCAAATTGAAGGAGTCGAAGTGACAATACACTTTTCTAATAAACCAAAACTGTTCTGTTCGATTGGTGCACTAAGAGAGAGGCAACGGATGATTTCCCAATGGAGAGACTCTCCACTCGAATTGTTTTTTTTTTTTTGATTGAGTTTTGTGCATTTGAAAACCCCTGAATCCCTGTTGAATGCTTCGAAAGTGCTCAATTTATCTGTCAGAGTATCTACCAAATTGGAAAATGCAAAAATGCTTCAAAAAATTATCATTTTGCAGGGCCTAATGACTTGTGCAAAATGTCTAAAGATACTTCGACTCCCAGATATGAGAGAGCGAGAGAGAGAGAGAGAGGTGGGTGGTTGCCTCCCCCCTCTTATCTGCTTCGAAAATGTAACCATTTTTGGGAGCAAAATGTTTGCTTAATTGTCAAAAATTCAAGAGAGGAAAAAAGACAGAAAAAGATGGCTGCAGGCCATAGAACTATGAAAAGGCACGACAATGACAGGAGAAGAAGGAGTGTGGCGCGGGTGGGTAGCAGCCTGGGTGGATAGTTGAGGAGCTAAAGGATGAGCATTAACCCAGTTAACCCATTAAAGCCGCCTCATAAATTCAAAGCCACAACCGACCCCCCCAACAACAACAGGCGGCGGCTCCCTTTGTGGCCTTTTGCGGGCCCGACTTGGCACCGTTTTTCGACTCATTAAAGCCAACTTCACGCAATTAGCCTAATAAGCTGCCCTCGCCAAGGGGTGCCTGCCTGGCCTCAACAAAAGCCAAAAGACAGAGAATCATGAGGCGAAAGGGAGAGCAAAGCATAAGATTGAGAGCAGAGGACAGTAAATGCGGTAAATGTATATAAAACGATATTGTGGTTCACATTTTGCACTTTTGCTCAATTAACTCAATTAATTGACATTTGAAATTAAATATCTACATATATACACGTGGGTCAACAGCATACATACATATATACATCTGTATGTGCATACAGGAATGTTTATTTAACGTTCAACCTCCCCGTTTAAGAACAGTTTGCTAAGCTGGAACTTGGGCGTTAAAGAAGAAGCCTTTGGATCAAATATGATTTCCAGAAGCACTAGAGTTATAAGCTACATAAACTAGAAGAGGATAATCTAATAAAATTATGCATTTTACAAGCAGCACCTGGCCAAAAGCAACAACAGCAAAACCGACAACAAGAAACAAACTATCGAAAGGGCAGCAAGAGGGAATAGCACACAACTTACACAGAGAAGAAACGGTACGAATATGTCAGCAAAGAAGAACAGAAACAATATAATTTTGCACTCACCTGTTCTTAACATAATCCCGCACCAGTAATTCTCCATGCTGCAATCCTTCTTTACTTTTCTTGCCGTTTCCATTCTGTCCATTTGGCTTTTTTTCTCCCTTGATTTTTTCACCGCTGGCTACCGACAAGTTGTGTTTAGGATCTCTCCATTTACCTCTCCTCTACCTCTTCCTTTATCGCTCTCATTCCTTTGTCGATATGTGTGAGTGGGTTTTTGCAAAAGCATTTGAGCTGGGTGTGAAAGGGACGGAGGATACAAGGAGACGTGGCAGAGTTTATTTGCGTGATCTGTAACGGAATCTTGTAACATATGTACATACATACATATTTACATAGTTCAAACCTGGGCCCCGAAACCATCTTCCTCTCTCTTGTTTATTTCTTTTGCTGTGCGCCTCTCTCCTCTCTCTCTGGTAACAGAGATGATTTTGTGATTTTGCAGCACTAGAAACGAGCACAACTAACGGTAAAGCAAAACAAGAGATGGGTGCAAAAAAAAGGGAGAATATCAATTTTGTACGGCTACAGCAGAAACCACCCCCTCCCCCCTGGCCATAACTAAGGACAATTAAGGTATTGGTCTCAAATATAAAATATATTCTCGATTTACAATGCATTTGACCCTTTTCGCCTAGTCAACTCTGTATTAAAATGTAACAATATTAAGTTGTAAATGTCTCTGGTTTGCTTGTGTAGGTGTAACCTCTTGTGGTGTGGTGTTTGTGTGGTGTACCTCTTGGCAATTTGTGTACAATTTGTATGTTGGGGGACGTCAATCAACAACAAATTTCGATAAACGCGGAACATTAACATGAAGAAACTGTGTAACAAATTAACTAAAAACTATTTTCCGTCAGGGCAGGCCATCTGGAACAGGAATTGAACGATGGTGCGCGTGGGTCGGCCGGTCATGCGGTCTTTCAGCAGATACGGCAGCGGATTGTAGCGCGTCAACAGGCCGACGTTCCGGATGTCCAGATGGGCCCAATCGACACACGGGACCAGCTCGTGCAGCACGGCGGCGGCGATGCAACTGGAGGCGGGGCCACGTCCACGGTTGCTGATATCGAAGGTCTCGTTGGGTGAAATCAGCTCCTTATAGTAGCGCCACAGGGGAAGGCGCCAAACGCGATCACCGGTGAGGCCGCCAGCCTTCTCGAACTGCTTGTATACGAAATTCGAGTTGCTGAAGATTCCGGCGGCTGCTCCTCCCAGCGCCGGACAGACGGCATAGCCCACAGTGGCAATATCCACGACCATGCGAGGCTTGAAATTGGTCTGAGCGTAGAGCAAGGGATCGGCCATGGCCACCACCCCGGCCTTGCTGACGTCCACGAATCCGAGTGTCTTGCCATTCAGCAGGCTGACCACATCGCCAGGCTTGGCCGCCATGCCGGAGGCCATGTTCTCACACAGCGGCAACACTGCCGATATGTTTATGGGCAGCGACAGAGCGGCGGCGGCACGGAACACACCCAGGCAGGTGGCAGCACCGGCCATGCAGCCGCGGTACATGGACAGACAGTTCTTGGGGCGAAGGCAGAGGCCGCCGCTGTTGAATGTGAGTCCCTTTCCCAGCAGCAGGATTGGCTTGTCCTCGGGAGCGGTGCCGCAGTAGCTGATTTCCAGGATAATTGGCGGCTCGCAGCTCCCCTTGGCCACCATCAAGAAGCTGTTTAAGTTCTTGGACTCAATCCAATCCATGCCACGTACCTCCACGGAGATGCCGCAGGGGCACAGCGAATCCACCGCTGACTGTGCAAATATTGAGGGCGTCATCTGATTGGCTGGCGTATCGGCCAGGCGACGTGCCAGATTCTGTGATTCGGCCTTGAACAGGCCCCGGGTCCAGGCCTCCGAGTCGGGCGAGTCGTACAGCTCCAACTTGGGAATGAGTGTGCGATCCCGACGGCGCCGGTTGCTGTTATAGCGATAAATGGCCAGGGCGCTGCCCTCGGCCGCCTGCTCCGCATACTCCATCGAGTCGACGAAGATATCTGTGCAGCCCTGCATTTGTAGGGCACGTGCACCCACACCGGCAGCGACGCGTGCATTCTCCATGCCCTCATCGATCATCTCCAGTTCGTTGAAGCCGACCCCCTCCTGTCCCACGCCGACCACAGCCACTGCCCGGAACTCGGCGTCCACGTTCATGAAGACACGCCCCTTGCCCAGCTGACCCTTCAGGCCAGTCTCGCGTATGAGCTCTGTGATCTTACCCTGTACGCGATCGTCAAACTTCTCGCCCGATGAGGTCATCTTAGGCTCGCGGTCGCCCTCCTTGGCATACACGCCCACCACAACGCCCTTGATGACCGAGTCACACTTGTCCGCGTATTGGCGCAGCTGCAGCTGTGCCACAGCTGCACATCTGCCCGTGGATGTGCACTGGACACGCCGGCACAGCGTGTTCATCAAGCGTACAGACTGCATCGCTTGATGACGGTGATTTCTCCCCTCGAAGATGCGTGACAAAAGTTCTCTTTAAAATTTTAAAATTTCCAATTTAAAATATAGAGAAGAAAACAGTTGTTATTCCAGAAGCTATGGCGAAAAGAATGAGATATGCCAGGGCTCACAAGGGGCTCGAAGGGAAATGTTAGGCCCAACGCCTGCTGCGATGCGATGAATTATTGAATTTTGAAACAGACTTTTACACACAATCCGACATACATATATATTTTTCGCTTAATCCAAATGAAACAAAAGTTTTATTCCTCATCAGAATCGGCTTGATTGGCTGGCTTGAGGCTGCCAAAGACCTTGGCCGGTATGGCCTTCTGTTCGAAACGCAGTTTCTTCATGATGAGACCCTCGTCATCGGTTTTGGTGGGGGCCTGGCCTGCCGCCTCAGCTTGGTCTCCACTCGGTGTCTGCTGCTGCTGCTTTTCCTCCTCCTCATCGTCGTCGTCGTCGTCGTCTTCCTCGCTGTCGCCAATATCAATCTCATCCGGATTGATAACTGTATTATTCTTATCCTTGGCGCCGCCCTGGGTCTCGCCGCGCACAAACATAATATTGCTGGCAGCCTTCTCGGTGGGCTTTTGCTTGGCCTCGGCTGCCGCCTGGCGTGCCTTCTCCTCGAGCAGTCGCATGGCATCCGGTCCGGAACCGGCACCAGCATCGGCAGCCACGCCATTCGAACTCGTGTTGACAAATTGCGCAGCCATCATGTTGACTTGAGTGTTGTAGGTGGCCTGAATGGAGCGCTTGATACGCAGCATTTCACGCATCGTATCCTCGTTGCCATGACGCACCTCGAACTCCTTCCAGGTCTGCCAGAAGTCAGCCGTGATGCGGGGATCGCACACCTATGGGGACACAGCAGAAGAGGGCTTAGCATACTGAGCATCCATCCGAATGGCTTAAAATGTTGACTCACCTGCGAGCAATGGGCATAGATGGCTCTGGCCCGATCCACCTCGCCCAGCTTCGTCTCCAGCTCGGCGAATTTCACGCACATGTGACGCATATGCTGCTCGGGCAGGGCCTCGATGGCCTTCTCGTAGATCTCCCTGGTGCGTGGCAGGCCGTAGATCTCGGCCGCCTTCTTCACGAATATGTTGTACATGTCGAACATCTCCTCCTCCTTGACGGCGGAAGTGGCGCGATCGTAGACGGACATGGCATGCCGTGCCAGGCCGTGCTCCTCCTCCAGCTTGGCGTAGAGCAGATAAAAGTACTTGGCATGCTCGGCGGGACACTGATCCAGGCACTGCTCGAAGAGGTCGCGGGCTCGCTCCAGCTTTGTGCCACCGTACCGTGCGAGGAACTTGCTCAGATACGAGTTCCAGATGTCGTACACATTGGGCCACTTGAACAGGGCAATGCCCTTCTCGTAGGCCCGATAGGCCTCCTCGAAGTAGTTGTGCTCCTCGAGGAACATGCCATAGTTGATGATCACCTGAGGCGTGCAGATCTTCAGGTCGATGATGCGCTCGTAGACGGCCTTGCAGGTCTTAAAGGTGCCAAAGGACTCCTCCAGATCGGCGTACATGGACCACACCTTCAGGGATCTGTGGAGGCGCGACTGCACTGTCTCCGTGTCATCGTGATAGGCCACCTTCCGCTTGGGCATTGCCGTGGCGCGTTGCATCAGCTTGAGCGCAGCCTCGAACTGCTGCTGGCGCAGCTCCATCTCCGCCCACTCGCACCACACGGCGGCCAAATCCTCCACCTTGACGTACTCCACCTCGGTGCCCCGCTCAAAGACCACGCGGGCATCCTCCACCTGGCCATTGGACTCGTAGAACTTGGCAAACTCCACCCAGAGGGTGTGCAGCTTTCCCACCGCCAGCTTGGGCTGGACTGTCTGCACGGCCTCTGTGTAGGTGTTGATGATCTCTGTGGGCTTGTCCTCGTACAGATTCACCCGCTTGTGCCACTCGTGAACGTTGTGAGGATTCTGGCGAAGCAGCACGCTGTTCAGCAGGAGCAGACGCCTCTCCATGAGGTATTCGAAGCGCGAGAGGCGCAGCTCCACATCGATGTCATCCTCCTCGGTGGCCTCCTCGTTCTTGGCCACCTCCTCCATGCGCTTGTTCAGCGACAGCTCCTCGAACTGCGCGTACTCGTCAAAGACTTGGGTGAAGTCCCGCACTGTGGTGACCGTTTGAATGGCCTCCTCGTAGATGTCCCTGGCCCGATCGAACAGTCCCGAGCGCACATAGTAGTCGGCCAGGGAGTTCCACAGGTGACCCAGCTGATCTGTGTACCGCCGCAGGCCACCCCTGATGATGGCGTCCACATTCAGAGAGTGCACCTTGTGCGGATTCTTCGAGATGAGGTCGCACAGCTCGTTCCACAGCTGGTGGTTCGACTTGCCGTGCTTCGACACGAAATGCTCGTTGTCCACTATGTCGGCCAGCTGCTGGGCCGCCTCGTCCAGCTTCTCCACCTGCTGCAAATACTCGACATACTCCTCGGCGTCCTCCGGAAACAGCTTCAGATAGCGTCTGTACACCCTCAGCGCCGTCTCGGGCATATCGAAGCGCTGCACGAACTTCAAGAACAGCGGCCAGATCCTGCCGTGCTGTGTGATGGGCAGTGCCCTCAGCGCCCGGTCGAAGACGTGCCGAGTGCGCGTCACCTTGCATTGGGTGGTCATGAACACCCCATAGTCGATCCAGATGCGCGGCATCTTGTGCATAAAGACGAGGGCCCGCTCGAACGTGTTGTTCACCTGCTCGTACATGGGATCTGTGGGTATCTTGCCCCGAACCTGCTTCCTTCGCGTTCGCAAATAGTTGTACCAAATCTTGTAGCTGCCGGGCAGCTCCTTCAGGGCGCGTTCGTACACCAGATTCACACCATTATTGGGCGCCTTGGCCTTGTGATCAATGTAGCGAAGCCAGTGCTTCACGGAGTAGGCATTCCTCAGAATTTCCTCCTCATAGGGCACATCTTCCTCTTCCTGCAAGGAAGGTGAGCGTTAAATAAACGTCAAACTGTATTTAGTTAACAATACTTACAAAATTGAGTTCCGTATTTGAGTTTTTAGTGGTTTTTGCCACCATTTTCGCGGCCTAAGTTAGCAATTTTCACAAAACACCAAAAGCCGCAAAACGTTTTTCATGAGCGTCTATGAAAACAGCTGTTGCTGGAGAGTTGCCACGTAGGCGTGAGACAGTACCGATATATCGTACGCACGAAATATTTATACAATAGTATCGATGCTGTTCAAAAAATATTGCCCTAATATATATCGACATTTTGATCTACCCTTTGAAAACAAATATTATGGAATTGAGGAAATGTTTGAACTCTCAGGTTCCAGTGAATGCAGAAACTAGTCTGTTAATTAATGTTAAAATTCCGTTTTTCAAGCTGGTTGACAAGCAAGAAGTGGTCCCACTATCGTTAAATGGTTTGATTTTCTATTTATACCATATTTTATGTAAGTTTTCGTTAATTTTTCAACTATTTAAATAGAGCGGGATTAAGTGGGATCAGCTCGTTTGTTCTCGGTGTATTTGCGGTATTTTTTGTAAATGAGATGGTATATTTCTGAGGGTCAGGTGGGGTATCGAGAAAAACGCGGTCACACTGTTGTTCGGTTTTCGATTTAATAATAATAATAATTTAATTTCGCAAAATTCTCGCAAGAGACAACAACATAGTTCGTTCCCTTAACAAATAGGCAAAATTCATTCAAATCCAAGTGTTGACATCTCAATCGCCAATTTTACGCAACGAAAGCAGCTGCTACGATACGGTCGCGAAGTGTGACGAAGAGAAAAAGCAAAAGAAGGAGAAGTGGTGGAGAGAAAAGAGGCGCGTTGGCAAGCAAAAATCAAAGTCTGTAAAAAAAATAAGTTGAAAATTCTATAAATAGCTCAAAATGACGCGCTTGAAACATTTCTAAAAAAGTTCATAAAACATAAAAAGTCTTCGAATTTTTGTAGTGGTAAATATCAATATTCATCCGCATATGTGTGTGCGTGTGCCTTAAATATTTTCGCACACCACACACACAACCACACACACTCAATTTTCCCCCCTCGCATTGATTTTCCCGATTTCCCTCGAGACCAAGACCCGTTCTTATGAGCGGAGCGGCATTCCAATTGGTCCACACATATCCCAACTAAACTCCGATATGGCCGCTCTTCCACCCCCTAACGCAGTCCATCAGCTGTTTTTAGTCTCAAAATTTTCCATGCTCTTGTTTTGATCTGCAAGCGGAAAATTTTCCGGTCTTGTAGGGCTCTGCGCTTCCTGATTACTTGAAAGTAAATAGCGGCCTGCAAGTGTTAGATAGATGGCCTTCGGGGAGCCGGTTTCCCACCCACATAGTTGACACACTGACAGCAGCAGCAGCGAAGCTTTCAGCTGCATGCAGCTTTTGCAACCACCGAGAGCTTATTTTTTAGCCACAAAAGTCTACTTAATTCAGTAATACTTTAAAGGGAATAAATATCACAGATTGGATAGAGTAGTGTTTATATTTATCCTTAGAAAATTCTGTATAAAAAAGTCATGAAATGAGATTTTTTAAAGTTTGTATATAAATAATCTTTAAATTTTCTGCTTAAAATTTACAATGGGTATGAGGTTTTTTTTCCCCCAGAAAAACAATAGTATCTCCCACCCATCAGAGTCGTTTCCTCGTTAAATTGCAACCATATCCCGACCATACACTGCCAAAGCTTTGCTTCATCAAAAAATAGCTTTCCACTTTGATCAAAGTGTTTTATTGATTCCATTTGTCTATTATTCTCTTAATTTACTTGCAGCCAAAGCAACGACACAACGCATCAGCGATAACCAATAAAAGTGCATAATAGTATTAATAATAATTATAAATAAAAAATAGAACTTTGTTCTTCCATAAATAAACTCTTGTCCCATAAATAAGTGCGAAAAAATTGCAATTTGCCACCATGTCGCGTACAAGTAATTTGTTTTTCAATTCATCGGTGAATTTAGAGACTAAAAAGTGTAATTGTTGATAAACAACAACAACAACAAAGAAAAAAAACAAACACCACACAAAGTCAAAAAAAGTTTAAATAAAAGAAAACCTCAGGTACAAGAAAACCCGTTTGTAAGCGAGAGAGAGAGAGAGATTGTTCCAGAAGAGCCAACCGACATAGAGAGAGCGAAAGAGAGAGAGAGAGAGAGAGAGTGCAGCAGCAGGTTGACAATTCCACAGCAGAGGGAAGACATTCCAGTAAACACACATTCCAGCCCAACCCTCACTCAAAGCCCACGAGTCGGTTACATTTTGCAAGTGAAGAAATCGGTTTACTGCCTAATGGCAACATCGCTTAATAAGACGAGACACAGGCGCAGATTGGCTGCGATCTCGTTCCTATCAAATATTTCATTAGATGGCACACACCGGGACACAAAATTTGGCGCAACATTTGGCAGCAGCATTATCTGCAACCAGAATAAGAATCCGACACCGACCTACAGCAACGGCCACGCCTCGTCGGCGTTGGGACTGGGCGCCGGAGGCTACCATCAGCACTATCAGCAGCATCATCACCAGCGCGGCCATTCGGCCCAGCAGCAGGCGAAGCAACAGCAACAGCAGCAGCAGAACCACCAGTATCAGCAACATCAGCAGTCGTCGCCCCATCATCATCAGCAGCAGAATGGTGGCAGCTCCATACCGATCCTCTGCGCCGCCATCGATGTCCACATCGGAGGCGGTGTCGGGGACTTTGGCATGCTGCTGGACGAGTGCACCACCGCCGCCGCTGCTGGCGGTGGCAGTGATGGTGATGGGCATTTTAGTGAAACTGAAAATATGGGTCAATACTTGATGAACGTCCTGCACACCGACCACAGCGCGGCGACCATCAGTCCCGTTGTGCCGGCTGAAAGACGCAACATAAAGCGACCGACATCGTCGGGTCGTCAGCCCCACCAGGCTCCGGGCAGTGGCAATATGAGCATTCGGCAGCAGCAGACGCGGGCATGTCCCGCCGGCAGCGGAGGATCTGGTGCCGAAAGCGGCAGCGATTCGGATAGCGTCAAAATACCGCTCAAGGTGTCCAATCTGGGCAGCGGCGGTGGCGTCGGAGGTGCAGGGGCAAATATATTGCCCCTCAGAGAACGGTAAGTGAATACTTTAAGGAAATAACTTTCTACAGTTGAAGCTCTTTATCTAAGCAAAATACCAAGCAAAAACCCCTTCAAAGTCTTCTACAGCGCATCCATAATGCCAAATTTTCTTGTTCAGAATTAATTAAGTTTTCCAATAATTTTCATATTGCATAAATTGGAGGTATCCCACCTGAAAGGCAATCATTGATTGACAGCCGACGTCAAAGTTTTGGCTCACGAAAATTTCCCATCAATTTGGGGGAAAAACTTACATATGTTTCGCATACTTATTCATATTTCTCTTTGTTAAGACATTTCCTGCCTCGGGAATACATACATATATATGTATATACCCATCCCATTATGAATCATACTATCGCTGGGACACTTGTAGATTCATCGCGGGCGGAGGGAACTTTGTTTAATACAATCACTTAGATGGGATAATTATTGGTTTCTTCAGTCGGTTTATTTTTGGCACTAATTCGTTGTAAATGATTGAGATATCCGCTTAAGTTGGCACTCTCCAATTGACGCCTGATATCTAATTAGTTTACAAAAGGCTCAAATTGTTCAAATGCGGCGAATACAGCTTGACAAGCGAATAAACAAACAAAACAACAAACAAACCCTCATAGAGACAATGATCCAAACAGCAGGTGAATATTTATTCCGAATTTTCAATATGTGATATTTGAATATGTTTTTTTTAGAATATTTTTGTATCATCTTGCGTTTGTGACGCGTGGTGTTGTACAATAATTATGTGTGCGCATTTACAGTGGGTTAAAAAAGTTTGTGCATTTAATATCAGAAAAATTTAACAGATATACCCACAATATCCATTAGAAAAATACTTTGTAGCGCGACTATAAAAATATACATTTGCTTGAAGTATTTCACGTTTTCGTCGCCTGATTATGCACAAACCCAGTCCGCGGACTGTCCTCTCTGTTGCTTGGGCCTAAAAATAGAATTTATCTGTCTATCATCTAGATGTGTGTGTGGTGGGGCATTGTTGATGATGCGGTTCGTTGATTCTGTGGAGGGATTGTGGCGCCCCATCATTGAGAGACGTGTGCCTCTTCAATTAACGTAAATTGGACAGCGTGCCCCGCAAAATTGTCCAAACAACAATTGTGCACGAGGCAGGCGTTCACTTAATTTTAATCTAAAGCTTTTATTGTGCCACAATTCGCGTGCCTCTCCAGACCGCCCACTCAGCACACCTCTAACAGCTTTGCGGTTTCGTCACGCACTTTAAACGGTTTGTCAATCGTTAAATGGCTACTGTTGTATCTGTAACTGTAACTGTCACTGTAACTGGTCTTTGTCTCTAGCTGTGAATCATCGAAGTTGCTTGACAGAATAGCACGCAATATAATTACGCAATAATTGGTGCAAAAAATAATGAAGGGAAAAGTGGTAACAAGGTTGTGGGGGTGGTGGAGGTGGAGGGGAAACAATGAAAAGCTAGCAAAACGGCTTTAAACTTCCTTGAACTTCCGCTCTCGCAGGGACTGCCCTACACACTCTTCCACTCTCTCTCTCTCTCTCTCTCTCTGTCCCACTCTCCCACGCACATATGTATGTACACTCTGTCTCTGTCTGTATTTCACTCTCACACGCACTCTCCTTCATTCACACTCTCTTGTGGTCGCAGTGCATTCTTTCTTATGCTCTCCTTGGAAAGCTTTGCAAAGCTTTCACTTCAATGCCAACGCATGCGACAAGTTACATTGAACCCGCCGCCGCACTCTGGCTGCAGGTGCTTTTGCTATTGCTATTGCTGGTTGCACCCGTTGCGCTTTGGCAAACTGACCTTGTTTCTGCCCCCACAAACACCCCACCACATGCCCCTCTATTAACCGTATCGGTCGGCTGGGTGCGCGGCATTCTGCTTCTTTTCACGTCGTACAGTTTCGGTTTCAGTTTCTTTTCGCCGACTCACTCAACCCGGCACCCAACCCGTTCAGCCCTTTTGTTGACAGACAGGGGGGTGAAGCCGCTCTAATTGGGTTAGGCTTTTATATTGTTTGTTCACAATTCCCACAAAATGTGCAGTTGGCCCTAAGCCAATTGGCTTTTCATCGACATGTCATAGCATTTGTTCGTGTAAATCATTATAAGTTGCATGCGGCTTGGGCTAATTACAACTTCAGGATTCATTTAACCATTGCATAGAATTTTAGTTGTCTCAGATTAGATTAGATTAGATTTCCCAAAGATCCATGATATAGTCTTGGCTGTACTTGAAAGCGATCTTAACTTGCGAGATTACTGTACAGATAACGGCATTGACGTGATAGACAACTTGGAAATACTCTGAAAGCACTTCAGTTATGATGTCAGGCGTTAGGAAACTGATTGGAATATACTACTCGTAAATATAAATTTATTTTTTTTGTTGGGGACTTGATATTTAATTAATAGTCTTTTCAAGCTGGTTTGTACTTTGGTATTTATGATACAAGCGCAGTGCCATAATGTAGGTGATTCATGCTTAAATTTGTTGGCCAGCAAAGTAACATGAAAACCAAACACTTTAAGTTCCATTAAGAGGCATCGTCAAAACAAAACCTCCCTTCGCTTCCTGTTTATGTGCCATCAAATACAAATGAAGCAAGAGTTCATTTTTACCCACAAATCTTCAATTACATTATTATTTCCGCTCCAAAATGTGGCCCTCAGCTAATTTTCACAATCCACAAATTTGTTGCAAAACGAAAATATTTTGTTATGCGAGACTCCCTCACTGTTGTGGCTCTCTCTCTCTGTGGGAACATTCTTTGCCGCAAAAAGTCGCGCATGGGCAAAAAAGCAAAGCACAGAAAACTACGACGCAAATTGAACAAATCAGCCACAAACAACTTAAGTCCAGTTTTTGTTTTGAAATTTGAGCAACTTTTTGGAATGGAATGGAGTGGAGTGGAGTGAAGTGGAGTTTGGTAATGTGATGTGATGAATGAAAGAGTTGAGCAGGCAGAAAGATTCAAAAATGCTATGCCGAAAAACGTAAACAATTTTTTGCTTTCTCGCTCAGTTGCTCTTCGGAGACCCAAGACCCGAGACCCTCGAAGGCTCGTCGGCGGCGCTCATTCAGAAATTGCGTCATGCCCTTTAATTTGATTTAATGCCATGGCCTGGCCGCCTGTCTCTATCTCTCTCTCTTGCTCTTGCTGTAGGTAATTCAAGGACAGCCAGCCGGCATAATATGTGAAGCTTAGCATTGAACTTGGGCAGGCAAAAAGCTCTCCATCCTGCGGGCATCTGGCAACGCTTGCACGCATTGGTCGTCCTGGTGCTTCGTTTCAATGGCAGGCAATGTCAATGTCAATGTCAGGGTTCGGCAAACCTGTCCAAGCCGAAGGCTCCTCCTGCTGCTCCCCTATCGCTCTGCAACAACCCTGCGGCAAGGCGAGGCACTCCACCGAACTGGGTAACCTTGAGGCCAGAATTTATGCAATCGAAGACGCAATAAGAACCGGTTACGCCCTGCCGCCTGTTACTGTTTGTTTTCGTTGTGCTCTTGATGTTATAATCCTTGAAACAGGCAGTAGCAGCAGCAGCTCAGATTACTGCATTCTGTAGCTCTGTGTTCAAGGTCATGAAAATAAGTCTTAGCATATGTAGCTAGGGGTTGTTCTGTTTGGGATTTTGGGGTTGAAAAGAAGTGTGTCAGTGGTGCAACAAGTTTAAATGCACAAAGGATGCAATTCGCATTGGAAACCTGCTCTCAAAGAACCCGTTTCCATATTTACAACACCCAGAGAGCTCCCCATAGAGAAATGAAAGATCAACACAGACAATCCGTTAAGCTCAATTTTTATGTACATATGTATGTATGTTCACAAAGAAATGTACGATAAGAGCAGAGCGTATACTAGACTGCATATTTGTATGGCAATTTGTTTGCCCATCACTCACTCACGCCCATTATCCAGTCCCCCCATCGAGCTGCGTTCATGGCGCAAGCTACGCTACCCAAAACAAAGGCCGCCACCAGTGCTTATCATTCGAAACACCAACCGATGGTACAGACTGGGACCAGGCCTCTCTTAAAAGTGCTTAATCGGTTCGTTTTGTTTTGTGTGTTTCCCTCTACCTTACTCTCCCTCTCTCCCTGTATATCTCTCTTCTGATATTAAAAGCCAAAGCGGTTCGAAGCGGTTTGAATGGGTTCGGTTCTCTTTTGCTATGGTTGGTATTTTGTTATTCATTTCCACACTCTTTGCTGTGTAGCTTATTTATAAAACATAAGAAAGGGGAAGTTTGAAGTTTATGGAAGTGAAAGCTTCCTGGAAGTAAGGGAAAGAAACTTCCGAAAGATCTTTCATTCTATTTATCTTAGGAAATGTCATGCTAAAGTTAATTTCTATGACTTTTATCCCTTAAACAAAGAATAACGCCTAATCAAATTCCTTTCCATCTGCATGAACAACCTTCAAATGTATTTTAGTCTTTTGAATATACAAAAATGCATTTATTTGCCCTATTTTATTCCCATTATCAACAAACTGTTCGAGGTCTCCATAAACGATTAGTTTGCTGTTGGTTAATTTTTGTTTTTGCTGATCCAAAAAGCTCCATATCGTTCTTCCACTCTATCTTTTGTGCTGATTATTTGTTTACAAGTTGGCGTTTCTCTGTTTCTCGATTTCTGCCTCGCCTGGGCTTTCCTAACACGATTGTTGTTATTGCTGTTTTTCGTTTCTCTCTCAATCACGCTCTTTGCGACCGCTTTTTGTTTTGGGCTTTTGGTTTCCACCTTATCGAGAACTCACCTTTGTTTCGAACTGAGAGTGGGATTGATTATGGTTTCACAGCCGAGCAGTGTGCGTCATTCTCATGGAGGTGTCATCCCATGTAATGCTTTGCTGAAGCTTTTACAGATGAGTAAAACATGTTTTTGATTATACATACATATGTACATACATATATTTGCATATTTACATTCTCTCTATATCTATAATTTTCTTGTTTGTTTACCCCAGACTGTTGGCCATGTTTAGACAAACTTGCATTCCATTTGATTATTTTTGTAGCAGGCACGTGATCTAGTCAAATGTTGAGGGGTAACCTTATATAAAGAGCGTACGGCCATTACCGTCTGTTTGTTCGCTGATAGCCGCAAAACCAACAAGTCTGCGATGACTATGAAGAAAGCTGGTGCCTGATAAACGCGAAATTGACTCAGATGAATTGATTGCCATTTAGGGGAACGGGCCGGGGAAACTGTACAGATAGCGCAATTAAAAAATTAAATTTTCAATTCTTGGTGCTTATAAATTCAGCTCCCGAGCATGATTTATTTGCCTTGGGTCGTCTACAGATGGCAAAAGTGTATTTACGCAAGCGTTTAGTAGCATTTCGGTCAATATTTGCAAATCAGAGATACTCGTAGATTAAGCAGCGTAGCCCAGCTGGGTTGGAACTCGCTAATGAAATACGATTATATGGGTTGAGCAAGATGGTTGTTTTGCCTTAGAGATTTCGAAAGTTTGAAATATTGTCTAAACATTTCTATCTGTTGTCTGTCAACAGATTGATGTTAACGCAGGGCCTGTAAATATCGTCTACATGCTATACATAATCTTAACGCTTGCCTTATGTTAAAAATATGTAAAGTTCTCAAGGGACTGTTAATGGGACTGTTTCCTCTGAAAAATATTTACAATAAAAATAAAAAAATTACAATGCTCGATTCTAACATTGAAAAATTTATTGAGAGCGCATTTTGTTTTATTTTCGTAACAATAAATTCTAAAATTTGATAAACACAGGAATACAAATACATATGTATGTATTGCTCATTTGAGATCATTATCGAGGCAATTTTTAAACAAAATCCCATTTCGAATTCGTCAAAATACTATTGTTAAATATGGAAATTTTGTTTGTTTAAATGACAGGCGCACAGCTATGGATAGTTGGAGTTTCCAAAAGAAAAAAAAAACAATCCGAAAACTATCAAAAACCCTCTGCCCACACACACACACACACACACGTACAGTCAAGGTCCGAGCGTTGCATTTGTGTTGTTGATACCTGCAGCTTATGCTTCGTCTCGCTCTGCCCTTATCGGGCACTCTTATCAGCTCTCTCACACGCACGCACACACTCATTAGCGAGTCAATAAGTTGTACGAAAGACAAACACAAAAGCAAACGCACAAAAATGTTTGCTGCGTTGCGTTGCGGCCGACAGAGGGCCCTTATTACATTAACATTTTGGAGGCTTCTTCTCCTGTCTCTGGCCTCCTCCTTCTACTTCTTGCTCTTACATTTGTAAGCGGTAATATTCGTGTTGCGTTTGCTGTGCGCCTGTTAGAATGCTCCAACTAATTAACGGGTTATGACAGGCTTGGCGCCACCTCCATCATAATTCCAATGGGAGTGGGGTTTTTGGGGTTGCACATCTTGAGACTAATTAGCATCTTATACGACTGCTTTTATAATCCCCAATTAGTTTACAGTTCATTTGACTCTCTCTCACTCTCTCTCATTCTCTGACTTCTGCTTCTGCGGTGCTCACGTAATTTGTTTGGCCCCTCCCCGCTCTCCGTGTGGTGCTCTTTATTTGTCGAGCTGTAACCTCGACCTAGACCAATTATCCCAAGGTAATATGCCAGGCGCTCAGAGGGAGCAGTAAAGCGTTCACTTTGACTTCTGTTGCTTTGCCCTTCGACGCAGCCGGAGCAGCATGTGGTGTGTGTGTGTGCGTGTGTATATATTTATTTTTCCAAAAATACCCATGCTTCGGGTACGGAGCCAGAGCCCCCGCGATAAGCAGCTCTGCTGTGATCGCCCTTAGAAAACCAAATGAATGAATGAAAATCGTTTGTGTGCACTGCATAATTTTCTGTTTCCCTGTGAAAATATCGATCATTGCATGAGGGGTGTGCCGAGGCCCCCTCTGCATGGCCAGAGAGGGAGCGAGCGCACATGTTTGTCATTGAATTTATAAATACGAACAAAAAAATGTATTTATTTTTAAACCAAAAACAAAAAGGTAGCTTTTAGAGCGCGAAACTTTAGATACCCTTCGTCCATGGTTCAGCTAAAAATATACCTCACTAGTTATAATTTTCATAAATACGAAAACTGTATTCGGATATACGGATCCGATCTTAGCGATTCCGACTATGCGAACAAAAAAAAAAACTAAATGCTGCTCCACAGGGAATAGTTAACATACCCTCTGGCTTAGAGTATACACAACGCCTTCAAGGTCCATCCGAACTATGTTTTTGAATTTGATTGTGATATTTTTGGTACGCACGTTTTCCACTTGTCGCGCATTTTTGAGCGCCTGTTGCCCCTTAGATCACTTCGATTCTAACCGAACCCCATCTTCTTCTGTCTTGACAGCACCTTCAGCAATGGGGCAAGCGATCAGCAGAGCATGCAGCCTGAGCGACGGGCACGCCTGAACACGGCGCCTGGGATGCGGGCTGGCTCCAATTCCAGCATCGTGGTGGGCGGCGGCCTCAAGCGAACGTACATACTGAGCGGATCGAGTGTGAGCCACATCACGGATGACAGCAGCACGGAGAGCCTGGCGCCGACGGGCAACTTTTCGGGCAGTTTCCGCAACAGCCTGAGCAAGTCGGTGCAGATCACGGACAGCCGCAGAGGGACAACGGTCCAGGGACTGGGAATGGGAATGGGACAGCGGGATGAGCGAATGGTGCTGGTGTCCCGCAAGATACCGTTCTTCATATTCTCAGCCCTGCCCTACTACAAGGGCAAGAATGGAAGGTGAGTAGAAGGAACATGGAGCTATAGAGTCTATATATTGATTTTACTGATTTTACAGAACCGAGTTCCGCAAGGAGGATCGTCGGCGGCGTAATCCATCCACATCACGTCCGTTGAGCTCCATCAATGATGCCCCATTTGATCCCTTTGATCTGTTGGGCATGCAAAAGGCCGAGAGTGGTCAGGTAAGGCAATCAATTGGGATTATCCAAAAGAATTCCTCATCAACATGTCTGTTTCCTTTGTCCTCAGGATATATCCTATGGTCATCTGTTGATACCATCGCGACAGTACGAGAAGGAGCGCAAAAAGTATGGCAATGCATCGGCGAGTGCATCCATCTTCGAGAATCAAATGGAAATCACCGGCACAGCTGCGCTCAAGAATCACGGCATAGCGAGGTTCGTGCCAAGTTCCCGCCATTCCCCTACCACTATTAGGATCTACTACTATTAGGATCTAATTATGTTGAACACATTCGTTCAGTTACATTTCGTCATACCCCCCCCATGTACCATTTGCCACATATGTACATACATCAACCGTCATTGTGCATGGCCCGCCATACCGAATGATCTATTTAATATAGCATAGACCAAATACATAGTCCCAATATAAGCTAGCAGAAGCAATCGTTATAAGCTCAGCAACAAACTCTGTCCACAAGAATATTTCTCATATTGCATTGTAATGGGATACTCATCCGTTTTTTTGTTTTGTTTTGTTTTGGCTCGTGTTTTTGGGGGCCCAGCTTGTAGCCGAAATGAGGCACTTAGCTGAGCAAACAAAATGCAAAGCAAAAGCCATAAACATACATACATATGTTTGCGTCATCATGAGTCGAATCGAGTCTGATATAACACAATAATCCGAAGTGTTTTTTTTTTTTTAAGTCCAGACGACATATTTCTAGACTTTGTTAAATCTTGAGAACTTATTGCTAGTCTTGCCAAATTTGCAGCGCAGGGAAATACATACATACATAGGCAGCAATCCAATACGTTACGATACTCAGTTTATTTTGTATTTATTTCTTTGTATTAATCGACCCACCCACCTCGTACGCGCCCGCCAAAAAAAAACATTTGAATACATTTTGTGGCATTAACTTGTTGCTAATTCATTTAACGCTTTGCACTACTTCGTTTCAGCACAAAAACCATAACCAAACGTCAAGGCAAATGGTAAATTTATGAAAGCAGCTAATATGACAAAAAAAAAACAAAAAAATAAAAATAAATACCAGCCAATCCCAGCCATGATGTCGCTATCCTTAAGTCCCAGAGGGCTGTGGCCCATGGCTGGGTTTATGCTGCCAAACGCTTTTAGTCCACTAACCAATTTCACACACACACACACACTCACACACACACACACCCACACCTACATGCACACAACCACTCGCGCACATACAAACATCGAACAGAAAAGAACATTGCTTCAACTAACCCGATTGCGCCTTCTCTCACGCTCTGCCTTAAGACACTTTTCGTAGGGGATATATGTATATGTATAATAATCGTGCTCCTTTCCTCTCCACAGGTGCTTTACGTATGAGAATAACAATCGGAACAGTGCGGCCAGTCCCACGCCCGAGAACAAGCTGGATTTGGATATGGATAGCATTTTGCTGGGTGGTGAAACACCCCGTGGTCAGACCGTAAGTGGATATTCACCAGGATTTTCACCAGGAAGAATCTTTTGTAAAATACCCTTTGATATCTTGCAGAATCAGTACTCGGCCAACATCTTGGATGATCCAGAGCTGATTGCTGGCAAGCATCGCACTCTGTTGACCTTTACATCCTACATGACATCGGTGATAGACTATGTGCGGCCATCGGATCTGAAGAAGGAGCTGAACGATAAGTTTCGCGAGAAGTTCCCCGCCATTCAGCTAACCCTGAGCAAGTTGAGAAGGTATTATCCTGGCGTGCCATCTCCCATGAATCTCCCCTATTGATACGTCTGAACGTCTTTCCACAGCATCAAGCGCGAGATGCGGAGGATCAACAAACTGGACACACGCATCGATCTGGTGACCATTTCGCAGGCCTACGTCTACTTTGAGAAGCTCATTCTGGGCAATCTGATCAACAAGAACAACCGCAAGCTGTGCGCCGGCGCCTGTCTGCTGCTTAGCGCCAAGATGAACGATGTGAAGGGCGACGCCCTCAAGAGCCTCATCGAGAAGACGGAGAGTGTGTTTCGATTGAATCGCAAGGAGCTGATATCAACAGAGTTTGCGGTGCTCGTCGCCCTGGAGTTCAGCCTGCATGTGCCCATGCATGAGGTCCTGCCGCATTATCAGCGGCTGCTATACGAGTCCTAGAATTGGCCCCGGCGCTGCGCCGAAAACACTTTGTTGGCAGCAGCGCAGGTGGTGGCGACAGCGGCGGCCACCACCAAGCAGCATCTACGTCGCACCGGTAGTCGCAAGTAGGGCGTGGCGTTGGGAGGCCAAACTAAAAAAACCGTTAGACCAACAACAACAAATCGTTAGTTCGAGAAGTGATCGCTGATTTCGGTGGCGCCACTAAATCCAATGAGTGCGTGTAGAGATCGTGTAGTGTCGCCACAGAGACATGTTTTTGACATGTAGATCTTTTGTAGCAAAACAGGAATTACTTGTAGGGTTTTCATTGGACGAAATTTGTATTCTTCAGGGCGGCATTTGGGGGAGGGAAAGTGGGAGCTACTGCCCCGGGGGCTTTGACAGCAGAAAGCACCCAAAATACCCAAAAATATCTACGTTTATTACGTCTATTTTCAAAACGGTTTTTTTTTTTTTTCTTTTTTACGATAATTCTTGCACATACATTTTAATATTGTTCTTGCATAAAGAAACAATATATCCTATCCATATTAATTCATACATACATACATAAAACATAAACGCAATACATTTTCGAAAATGAAATAACTAAATAATGTGGTAATATTTATTGAAATGCCACTTCTTGTGGGCGATCAATGCTTGTAAGACTTGACGGAAAAAAATGGTTACTTTAATTCGAAAACTATTAGTGGCCTCCAGGCCTCTAACACCGGCCCTGTATTTTATCAAACTTCAATGCGAGTAGATATGCGGTTATCGTGCTTATTACATTATATTATATGCTACCCTAAGGCATTAGCATAAGTTTTACTACAAAAAAAAAAACTTCAAAAAGTAAAAAAAAACATGACCCCCTTCCCATTCTTAATCCCTAGATTCGTAAGTGTTTATGTTTTTAGGAAAGTTACATATGTATGTTTATTTTCTTGGGTTTTCTGTTATTGACATTTAAAAAATGAATAAACTTACCTTAACCAATAACCAATACCATAAAACGCTAATTTATGCAGTGATAAGCTCAGCTCTTATCAACATTTTGTTGTCGCTGCCCCAGCCCCAGCCCAGCACCAGGCACTGCTACTTCTGTTGTTGTAATGTTAATTTTATTCAAATTTTCACATCGACGATCTCTGCCTATTGCTGTTTGCTGTTGGCCGCGTGCCCAAAGCTGGCTAATCCGACCGGACAGGGCTGAAGATCCCACGTTACCTTGCCTCTCCAATCGCATCGCATCGCCCCGTAAACGTATCGATTGGCTTGACAGTTGGCGGATGGTGCCATCAATCAGAAATCAATAAATTACTTACGATCGATTATTTGTCAGCGCAACAGGAGCTCAGCAGTCTACAACAGGTGGCAGACACGAAATAAAAAAAAAAGAGTTCTCTGCGATAACCCGAAAAAGTACGGGCCAGCACACGTGTGCCGTGCCGCAAGAGGGGAACCATCGCATCGGCTGCCGGTGGAGGGGTAGGGGAGCACGGAACGTGCCATGCACATTGCCTTTGTTGGGTTTTTCATTATTTGTGGCTGTTGGTGCCATCGGTAAACTCTTTTGTGATAAGCACTCCATTGGTGTTTTTGTAGCTAAAAGCTTTTCGGGCAGCCAGAAAATGCAGAGAGGTCGCTACGGCCCAAGGTGTTTGAATACGAGGTGGGGCATTCCCAGTGAGCGATCTGACGACAGTTACTTACAAATGTATGTCTCACAAACGAGTGCAAGTGAATCACAAAATAGGTAACTCATAGAACGGAAATGCCTCACCTTGTAAATGTAGGCTTTGCAGGTGTACAATCCACAAACTCCAAGAGAGTATAGGGCGTGTATGTGTGTGTGTGTGTGTATAATGCGTTGCAATCGCATTTAGATTTTCACTTATCAGCACAATTTAATGGGTAACGACCTCCAAGAGGGGAGTTGCGACTATCCGTATGCCCTATGTTTGGTGAATAATTCCGTATGAAAGAATATTTATGATATATATTTGGTGGAGATAAGATTTCATAATTTTTAAGGATATTGGAAGTTATACACCCTAGATATACCCTAGCCTTCAATTCTACTCTTCATTAAAACTTCATTAGAATTTAATGAAAATTCGAAATTAAAGCAATTTAATTGGAGGCAAAACTCTCATTTAATGACCGCGGGGGAAATTGTGTGTGAGGGAGATACATATGTACATACAGAATATTAAATTTCCTATTTCAGCTTCTCTCTCTCTGTCTATCTCACCCCAGCTCGCTGCATGGCTTGCCGCCACATGGCCCCGCATAATAGAAACGCTCAAAACTAATTAACGCAAAAGCAAAGCCGGAACTGAAGGCATCTCTACCCTCCCCTCCCCCGCACTCACTGTTTTGGCCGTTTTCCACATTCTCTCTCCGCTGCCACGCGTTCATTGGGTCAAAGAGAGTGAGAGAGAGTGCGGTCGGTGCGGTCTTCGGTTCTGTTTCTGTTCGCCTGACATGAGCGTCTGCTGCTGCTGCTGGTCCGGGTGCATGGGTTGGGTACGGGATTAGATGTGTGTGTGTGTGTTTGTGTGGGGGGCACGGCCACACACCCCCTATACCCAAGTTTATTACTCATTAGCACGCACAACTGTCCGTCCCGTCCCGTCCGTACTGCGAAAGAGAGAATCAGCAGCAGTAGCATAAACTTTTGCGCAACTTTAGCTCATTTATTAAGAGCCGAACGAACCCCATCCGCACACACACACACACAGGAACTTTTTCATTAAAATTTCGCTTTCATTTATTAGACATTTTTCTTCGCCCCCCTTTCTCAGACAGCACAACTCCCGGCTCACTGTGCCTTATCTTTTGTGGTTTCTCTGCGTTAACAGTTGTTAGTTAGTTGAACTCCCCAACCCCCACGCACACTTTTACCACCCCACCGCACACACACACACACCGCTCTGATTGGAAAGTTCTTTCTTTCATTCGGTCTTTCTTTTGCTCGCCTGCAACGGGACTATTTTCATGGCTTCCGACCGAGCTCTCCCCCCCGCCACCGACATCCATCATTGAGGGAAGACTGGCCGTGGCCAAGCGAACGTCCGACCAATATTCCATTTGCTGCTGCTGCTGCTGCTGCTGCTGCTTGTGTTGCTCCCGCTGCTGCTGCTGTCGACGCTGCTGTTGCTGCTGCTGTCGCTGTCGCTGCTGCTGCTGCTGCTGCTGCCGTCGTCGTAGTTGCCTGTCGACTATCTGCGGTTTTCTGTGCGCCTGATACTATGCGCCGAGTTAATTGGTTTGCAAACAAATTAACCAACGTGGGTGTGTACGTTTCCTAATTAGCAGCTTTTGTAATTAAATATGCCCGCAGCCGTACAAACTCACACACACACACACACACACACCGCTCATTCGTTCGCCGAAAGAGCCGAAAGAGGCAAAGGAATGGAGAGAGGGCAGGGTGCGTATGTGTGTGGGCATGTACAATGGTATAACGGTTCATGTGACGCACAGCGGCGTCTCTGGCGGGGCGCACTTGACTTAGCTAATGAAGGCAGACAATACTATACCATACCGAACCCGAATCCCTCTCAGCGTACGCCCCACTCGAATGGGTATATTCCAGCGACGCGAAGGCAAAGGGAGCGGCTGTGGTTGACTGATGTTGGCAAGGGGGGAGTCGGGTGGCAGCTCTGTCGTCCCAAATGAAAATGCATTTTAATTAGGGGTTTTGTTGGCTTTTGTTTTAAGTTCAGTTTTGTTCTTGTTGTAGCTGCTGCTGCTGGGACTGCTGGTGCTTCTGGTCGATGGAGAGGGGTGGGGGCTTCATTCATTAGTTGAATCAAGCCAGAGATGCTCAATAGGGTTGTCGAGTGTGCGAAAATGGAAAAAATGAATTCAAAGGAGATGGACAAACGAATTTCTTTGCATTTGTATTTGCATATATTTTATGGTCAAGATTGAGGGAATGAAAAATATATAGTATAAGGTAGGGGATTTTTTTTTAACATTATTTTAATTAATTTTCAAAAGTTTCCCGTCCACAGACTGCTCTTATACTTATACTGCTCTTATATGCCAAGCACCACTAATGATTATCCTTGTCCTATCCATTTTTATATATGTATTACCTTTGCAAATTTCCAATCTCACTTTCATTTGAATTCCGCCAGCGACTCGACAACCCTGGACGAGTCCAAGCGATAAGCAAACCCAACGGGACATTGAAAAAGAAGCAAAAACAAAAGTTTGGCCAGCAGAGTGCAACCAGGCGGCAGACTCTCAGTTGGAGAGGGACACAATACGATAGGCCCTCTCCCTTTCTCTCTCTCTCTCTGTCTATCTCTTTCTCTTGAATGGATTGTAGTACGAGTACTATGGCACCCACAAGTTCTGCTTTTTGCCAGTCATTATAAACGTTGTTGTAGTTGCTTTATTCGATGCGGACTCGAGCAGACAGCAGGCAGGCAGGCAGGCAGGCAGTGGCAGCCCCGCAGCAAAAAAAAGGTCCAATTAAAAAACCACGACAATTAACGGGGAGCCAAGTGAGTTAACTTGGCATAAGTGGAATTTTAATTGGCAACACGAGAGAGAGATGGCCGCGAGCCGAGGGACTTGCCGAGTGCCGATAAGTGCAACGCCGCGGAGATTCGAGTCTGTGGGGGTAGGTGGGTGGCTGTTGGAGGAGGAGAGTCACAGCAGAGTCGACCCATCGGCCGTGGCGTGAGGGGGGGACCGCTTCTCGTCTCGTTATATGTATGTTTGGTTCCCGTGAGTCTCCGGGTAGGCAAACGGGAACGGGGAGCGGTGCGCGCGGTTGGCTCCCGGTAGTTAAGTAAATGAGCATTTTGTTTCACTAATGAACACTAATGAACGCCAGCCAGAGAGACAGCACTTGGATTAAGGCACGGACTCCGTTCCCTCTCTCTCCCTCTCTTCTCTTTCTCTATGTGTGTGTGTGTAGTGTGTATGTGTGTGTGTGTGTGTGTGTTGGGCCTTTTGTTGGTTTGGGGTTTTGTGTTGTTAATTAATAAACACGAAAGCCCAGAGAGACCACGTACCTTCCATTGTGTGTGTGTGGATGGTGGATGGATGTGACTGGGTGTATGTTTGTACCCAGTTTTGAAGGGGTTAAAATAAGCAATTAGTTGGATTTTCGACTAGGCGCTCAGAAAACGAGCAGACGCTGAAACTGGCAGCAGGCGAAGGCAAGGCCAGGCCGCGCCGCGCCGGGCCGGGCCGACAGGCTGGCAATTCTGCCAGGCCAACAAAACCGAAATGAGAAAGTTTCAAACTGTTGCCCTCCTCATCGTCGGCGTCGCCGTTGTTGCTTCTTCTAACGAGGCAGCGGCGCAGGAGCTTAACCGAAACGTTGGCATGGGCCATGGGGCAAGGGCACAGCAGAGCAGAGCACCGAGCAGAGTGGAGCGGAAAGGGAAGCAGCGCCAGCGCAAGAGAGTCTCTCCCGACTAGGGAGTCCATCCAGCAGGTAAGCCAGCCACGCATCTGCCCCGCGGGGGGAGGCGGGAATGGGAAGGGAAGGTGCCTAGCTGCGGTGGGAAAAAGTTTCTGCTGGTTGTCTGTGCTGTCGGGGCTTAATTAGTGCCGCGATGAGTCGAGCAATTAGCATGGACACAAACCAGAAATGATGAATGGGGCAGCCGCAGTCCCGCAGTCCCAGCAGTGGCACGTTGCAGATTGCGGTTGTGTAAGGTCGGGGATGGATGTGTTTTTGGCATGGGTTCTGGGCTGTGAGATTTTTTTGTGTGCCTCACTCTTAAGCAAGTTATGTTTATGTGGGGTTAGATTGGGGAGTTAGGCAAGGTTAAGGTAAGGAGAGAGATACTTTTGGAAAGGTTTTGTTGGTTTAGTTTAATCTCTGGCACGTTGAAATCGCAAGAATAATCATTCCTTAGATCAACCTCAAAAGCCACCCAATACACAGCCAATAAATCGCCCTAACAGGCCCTACCAACACACATAATATAAATAGAAAAATTAAATAGAAAATTCCTTCTAGGGCCCGCAATCTACTTTCATAATCAGACACCCATAAGGTGTTTTTTTTTTGATTATTCCAATGAGTTTTTCTATGCACAACTGATCAACAGAAATAGATCGAAGAGCTGCGAATAATAACTGCACAACAAACACAACGAATGCGGCGGCAATGGGTGGATAACATTCTAATTGAGTTCCCGAAACATGACAAATGAATCACGTTAATCCAACGACAATCAAGATATATGTACGAGTGTGTATGCATATTTATGTACGAGTATGGAAGACGCCTATGACAGCTTGGTCGCAATAACTTTCCGGCGAGGGTCGGTCGGGTGCCATTGAGCTGTTAGACAAGATGACTTTATATGGCAAAGCGCCAAGCGACGCGCCATTGTCTGCCACCGATTGGAGTGCGAACTTGTGGAGGAGGCAACGTCGACGACGACTCAACCTGGACGCTGACTGACGCTGCAAACCCGTTCGAAAAACAGAAACAGAAACAGACGGAAGAAACAGACGCTCAACCGGCGGGCGACATGCCCCTGACGTCAGCGATTCAAATAAGCCAAGTAAGTATATACGAAATGTGGGGGTCGGGTCTGATCTGTGGCAGAAAACAATCATTTACATGACGAGTTTTGCGCTCAAACAAGGTGAAATCATATTTTAGAATACGACCAGCACTGTGTTAGCTCAATCGTGTATTGGAACGCGCAGTGAACACATCGAACCGGAAAACACACAACACACAGATCACAGATTAGAGATGTCGCTACGCAGGAAAGAGGACTATATACCCATCAAGTGTGAGGGCTGGGATGGCAAGTTCGTCTATCAGGATGGAGCCGTGAACAATGTGTCCAAGGTGCGACGCCACAATCAGAATGTGACCAACACCAACAACTTCTATGGCTGCAACACGGAGCCCATTGTCCTGCCCACCGCCTGGGATGGCACATTCGTGAAGAGCGGCGAAACGCGCATCAAGCCCGAACGCAATCGATCCGACGATCAGGACTATTACGATTTTAACACGGAGCCGACCGTGTTGCCAACGACATGGAGCGGCGACTTTGTCACCGATCCGAACGATGTGCGCATCAAGCCGGAGCGTAACTTTTCCGATGCCCGGGACTATGCCGAGGCGAGTCGCTTCAAGTTGGTGCAACATTGAAGGAGCGATACCTATATCCCTATAGCGATCTTCTATTCCAATTCGTGAGCAAACAAACTAACTCTGCAATCAGTATACACGTATTCCCCCCCATTTGTTTGGTTCGGTTTTGCATTGTACTCCCTAACCTAAGCGTTCGTTGTATTTTTATGTTTATAGATATTTATTCGTACACCTAATAAACAAAGCAAAAAAAAAAACTGAAATCATTGCTAGAAAGTTCCGTTGTGCAATCAACCTTCGGTATGGCCTGGGACTGGGACTGTGCCTGGGACTGTGACTGGGACTACGTAGGTGTAGGCGTAACCCTCCGATATTCAGTGGCCTTTTATGGCGATTTATTGTGATCGTGTTTTTTGTTTTTGTTTTTGTTTTTTTGCAAATTTGCTTCATAATTATAATCATTGTTGGAATGCCTCCATCTTGGGAAGTAAAGAATCTTTGACTGATTGGACATTCAATGAATCACAAGAATCGAATCACTTGCAATCTGTTGCATCTGCAGACTGTAAGTCCCTCGAGGAAATCCCCTCTGAGATCAACTAAAGCAAATTGGTGGGGCTTTCTATTTTATTTGTTTACTCCACTGCAAGTGTCGCCCCATAAAGTAACCTTGTTGAAAGCTTTTCGTTTAGGAAATAAATTAATTTTCACTCTTGAGCAAATACAGAACTCAAGTTGATTCCGCGTATTGTGAATCCCACGAGCCTTACGCAAACACTCTGTCAGCTGGAGCAAGTCTTTCTAGATCATTGTGCTCCGACGATATACGGAGAAAGATTTGGTTGTGCTACAAAAATATATAGCATCGAGATTGTAGAGGTCGCAGCTGATAAGAAAGCGTCTACACACGTCTATATAAACTGTAGCTCAGTAATGGCTCGATCCACAGTCACAGGCAAGATGCAGAGTTATTTTGTTGCCATCACCGTCAGCCTGACAGTTGTGGGTCTCGCCGCGGGCCAGTCAACGCCTGTTACCAAGTCGCTGGAGGATTATTTAGGTCAGAATCAGCGGCAGTACGATGCGCGAGTCAGGCAGTATGAGCAGGATTTGGCCAACTTTCGCACGCTGTTCAGCAAACGGCAGGAACTGATCGATTTGCAGGCCGATTTCCTGCAACTGAAGCTGGAGGAGGCCGCCGTTCGCATAGATCCCCTCGGGCTCATCGATCCCTGGCACAGGCAGTGCGTCCAGAACTACAGCGGGAGCATACCGACGATAGCCACTGCTCGATCCGGAGTGACCAAATGCCGGGCAACCATCAATGGCGTTCTCAACAATGCCGAGAGCACGTACAACACTCTGAAGAACTACTACAACGTCAATCTGAAGAACTCCCTGTCTGACTGTGTCAAGAACTTTCCGAATGCCCAGCTAAACTACACGCTCTGTGTGACCAAAGCGGTGAGTACTCTCCACGACTTACCCCCAAACAATCCGTACTTAGATGCTGCCAAATTCCATCTACAGATTGCCACCACCAATACGGTCTCGATTGCCAACCAGAATAATTTCAACATCTACCTCAAAGATGCCGATTGCACCGCCGATGCGCGCATCAGAGCTGCCTGGACATGCTCCACTGGCCAGGTGTATGCCACCGGCGCTACCATCGAAACGGCCCAGCGGCTCATCGACAACTGCATTGACAATCAGCTCGTGTGCGGCTCCGCATCCTGCTCGGCCGGTTGCCCAAATATTTCCTTCATAAGCCTAACGGAGGGTGACTTCCGCAATGAAACCATCAGAAATCCCTTCCGCGGCCTGAGCACCCAAGCTGGTTGCAGGGAGTTCAGATTTAAGTAATGAACGAATAGCCCAATGAGGAATGGGAATTGTATTGAGTAGAATTCAACCAAAGCAAATAGTTAAATAGCATTAAAAAGCATTTATTTGGTTATTTTTATGTATGCATATATGAAGCGTATACTTGATATAAAGCTTCGACAGCTGAGCAAATATTGTTATAGGTACTTAGCTGTGTGGGGGATAACCATCTGCTATCATTAATATTGTGCTATAGATTCAGATATATAGAAGCCCATAGATCGTTGCGAAAGAGTCTTCTGCAGGAAGAATACGAAATCAGTGATGAAAGTTAAAGGAAACAAAATTCAGTTTTCGTAACCCTTTTTGTGGCCTCAAGCCAAACGATCTATTAGGAGCTCAGCAACGATCTGTAGCTGACTACAGAATCCACACACAAAATCTTAGAGCATTATAGCGCAGCATTCCAGGTAGCCATTAGCTCTGGAATGTTAAGCCACTCAAAAGACACTCCCTAACCATTCTCAATAGATCCCAATTTCCCAGAATTTGGTATCGCATCAAATCTGGGACCACTTTGTGTGTGTTTTTTTCTTAAGAACATGTTCTATTCATGCGCATTGCATTATCTGCGGATAAATGCCTGAGCACAGATCAAAGATCGGCACAGACTACGCATTGAAAACCGATCCTTTTGTGTGACGATGGGAAAATGCTGTGGTTCTTGGCTTGACTTGACACGGGCCTGACCGTGTGAAATATTTCCACTCTTATGGCAGCAAGCCAATATTGTTAACAGGCCTGCAGGGAAAGCAGTAGGTTAAGCCGGAAAAACGATGGAAAACCAGCACGAGCAGGTAGTCAACACATGTCGCTCCATGAGCAGATGCGTGAGAAATCTTTGATTTGGAAAAACGATCCTTTGCTTTGTGGGAAAATTACGGCTGCTACATAGAAGAAGAGAAGGTTTTTTATTAGTAGTTTTTTTTATCGTGTGAAACTTTCCAAATGTTTGTCAAATTTGTTGAAATTACGACCAGGAGATCAGAATTTGCCGTAGGTGAAGGCTAGGATGCACCAGTGGAATAGAAGAAACAGGACATAGATTCAAAAGAATATGTCTATGCCTCAGCCGAAGCATCTGCGGGAAAGTGCACAATTTTCTTTGGAGCGTGTTTATTTCTCCAGCTCTGTAGAACCGCAGAACAGGTGATCAGTGGTTCTAGCAGCTAAACCCAAAGAGAATTGTAGAATTCTACCTGCTTATAGGCATAGAAAATGCAGCATTGATTTTGATCTTCCACCTCAAAAGAGTAAGCCATACAAATGATTCTTTGGGATTCGTAATAAAAAATGTGGATAAAAAATACAATACCATTTGCAGCCGGAGCAGGTGTGGGAAAAATCTTCATCTGCCTGCTGGACCCATGCCATTCCGCAGCGTGTGAATTTTCCAGATGGTTTGTGGAAATGTTGGAATATTCTAGCAGGCCAACAGCACAAACAGTAGCACAAGCCATTGAATTTTCCAAAAAGATCGGAGTTCTACCTGCAGCCACCGCCTGGGAAGCGGCAGCTGGCACCGAGCACACGATGCAGCGATTAACATTTTCCGGCAACCTGTTGCTTTTGAAAAGAGATATACTCCCTTTATCCCATAGATGCATTTTCTAAAAAACGGCTGCTATTCAAGCAAACAAAATGAATAGGGAATTGCAGCAGGAGCAGCTGCGTGGGAATATTGTCCTCTGCCTGTTGATTCCGCGCAGGGATCGTGTGAATTTTACAGCCCAATCGTAGAGATGAACAACTTTTCTACTAGGCCAGCAGGAAAATCAGTAGCTGTCTGAAACGATTTGCCCTACCTGCTGTCCGGGGCCTGGGAAAATGCAGCTGGAAAGGAGCACACGATAGAGCGGTTTTAATTTTCCGGCAACCTGTTGCATGGGAAAAGGATACTCCTCTTTTTAAAAAACGATCCCTTAAAAAATATTGAAGAATGGGAAAAAACTTCTAAGAAGCAGCTGTGGGAAAATTGTCCTCTGCCTGTTGATCATCTGCACAATCGTCCTGATCGTGTGAATTTTCCAGCCTAATCGTGGAAATGGAAAACTTTTCTACCAGGAAAGCAGACAAAAAAGGTAGCAACTCGAATGCATTTTCCCATCTGTAGTCGAAGCCTGGGAAAATGCAGCTGGAAAAGAGCACACGATTTTAGGACAACCTGCGGCCTTAAAAGCGGAACCTCCTCCTTTTTCATTATGAAAATAATTCTTTTTAAATCTGTTACTTAAACAAAATTGAATAGGATGTGCCGCTCTGGGAAAGGTACTTTTCAATATGATGCTACCTGCTGCAAGGGACCGAAAAATTCAGCTCGAAAGGAGCACGGGACAAATCGAATAGCCCACGTCTTGGGAAAGGATCCTCCCTTTATTTAAGTAAAATTTATTATCTGAAAAGCGACTACCAACGAAGCCGCTGTGGGAAAACATTTCCATCTGTCTATTGATTCATTCGACACAATATTCGGGTCGTGTGAACGTTTCCATCATTTGGCGGATTTGGAAAACTCAAGGAACAGGCGAACAGAGATTTTCATAGGCTTCATGGGATAAGTTTTCCCAAATATTCTCTACCTGTTGATAGCCTGGGAAAACGCACTGTACTTTTCCCAATTTTCATGGGAAACCGATCGCTCCGTGGGAAATTATTTTATATTCAAGTAGTTCGAAGATCACAAGCGTGTGAAAAATCAGTCAACTCTTTCAAGGATGAGAGAAAATGCCACCAGGAAAACAGAAAATACAGTGTGTGTATCCTTGGAAATCACTACAGCACCCAAAGAAAATTCTACCTGGGAGACCTAAGACCTAAAAGAGATCAACAGGCAGCCAAAGCCGCTTGGGAAACTCTGTGAAACGCACGTTCTATTGATTTTCAAAGGTCATGGGAAAACGATCATGGATTAGGGCCAAGGCTACTTACTATATGTGGGAAAATGTCTCAAGTGGTTGTAAAATTCGACAATTAGCTAATAGGCAAACAGAAATATTAACGTAGACTCTAGCCAGAAAATTCTGCTTATTACGGTGATCTTTGTGTGGCAGGATTACCGGAAGCAGGTTCGTTTCCTCCGGAAACGGCGATCCCAACAGGAAATTGATTTTGTTGCCACTCGAAATTGTATTTGCTCAAACAGGAAATTGATTTCTAATCTTACGTTTCCAATTTCCGGTTCAGCTTCCGTTCCTTTTTTAAACAAATAAATATTGATCTTTGGGCAACCTGCCGGGACCTATGTTTTTTGTTTTCTTTTTTTCTGCCGCTTTTTTATGTTTTTTCCTGGAACGACAACGACCACATGCTGAGATTTCTGCCGAGGCGTGAGAATGTTTCGGCTTAATTGGGCTGCTTTCTACTAGGGAACCAGCAAGCGCAACACAATGATTCCTTGCATTCCATTTTTTCAGGATAATGCCACGTGATATATGAAACCTTAGCAACATCTTTGATTTTTGTATGGGTTCGGTTCCTTCGAGGATTTTTTTATTACTCTTAAGATGTTCTGGTGTTAAAAGATGCCGTGAGAACATTGACAAATAGTGGAATACAAAATTAGTTTTGGTTATCAGGCAAGCAGAGCAGGAGAGAAGGTGAATGATTTGTTGCCAGGATGCTTTTAAGGATTCTGATATGCAAATTCGATTAAAAAAGCAGCCATTCGATTAAAATTGCTAACAGGCACACAGTTTTGCCAGCAAGCAATCGCACACAATTTCGTCTTACCTTTCGTTACCTTACCTTTATACCTGGAGGAAAGTCAAGGTAAGAAGTTGCCAAAAAAAAACTACCACCAAACTATTGAGTTACATTTCTCATTCCAGGAGACATTTTCAACCCTAAGGTCGTTAGTTATCCAAACGAAAAATGTCTTGAGCGTTACCAGGACAACAGCAATCCTAGAAAGAGCCAAGATATTGTGCGCTCCTTACGCTTGAGGGATGTTTCTCGGATGGCATTCAAGAGGTACCTGAAGAATTCTCCCAGTCGTGCAATGTCTTGGTTTATATTAGGCCAACAGCGAAACGTAGCAGCGATTCGCCTGGCAGGTCGATTCTTCAGGTCGGATTGTGTGCCCAAGAGGGTTGAAAGTGTCAGTTTTTTTAAGCGGCTTACAGAAAAACCAAGGCAAGATCTTGGCGTTGATCTCTTCCAGATCACTGAGACCAAAGATATCTCTCTCATCAATTGTGTGGTGATGGTGGTGGGCGTGTTCGTTCCCGTTCCCGTTCCCGGCTGTGGGAATCCTTCCAGAGCAGGTAACATTCCTTACCTCAAGCGTGAGAATTTCAAACAAATTCTGTTGATCTTTCAGCAGGCGAACAGAAGAGACGACAGCATCCGCACCTCCCAGCCCGCCTCCTTTGGGCTTACGCACTGAGCGTGTGAATCGGAGAGCTACAAGAAAACATAAAAAAAGAGAGACAAAACGAACAAGCCGAAAAAAAAAAAAAACGAAAGTTGCGCGTGAGAGTGAGAGGCAGCGAGGATCGCGTGGGAATAAATGCTGGCCAAGAATGTAACGTATTTTTTCCCACAGCTCCTGCAGGTAAGGGCTCCCCCCCCCCCTCTCACGTACCCACTCCTTTTCTCGCTCGTTCGTTGCCTCTGCCTTGCTCGCACTCAAATGATATGCACAGGCTTAAATTAGTTGTTAATTGTCTTGTCTGCTGTCCCTCTCCCGTTTTGGCATGTGCTCGCGTGAGAACTTTCCAGCCAGAGTCTGGAAACGGGAACAGGCGAACAGCAATGGCAGCGCGTGGATTCCAGTTCTTCGGCTTAGCTGGAGTGTTTTCTCTCTCTCGCTCTCTCTCTCTTTCTCCTCCTCCTCCTTTTGCTCTTTCTGGCTTTCATGCTTTGCCCCGTTGGTTTTGTTGTTGCTCTTAACGAGATCCTCGGCTGCCTGGCCTGCCGCCCGATCGTTACGTTAAACGGATGTGTACTCAGTGTGTCTGTATGGCTGTATGGCTGTGTGTTTGTGTGTGTGTGTGCTTGAGGGTTTTATTTGCTGCGGAGGGTTTCGTGGTTCGCTTATGTCAACGGCGTGTGGGAAATTCTTGGCCCAAAGCCGTTACAAGACCAAATTCAGACACGTTGAGCTGATCGTGAGAACTTTTCATGTTG